AGGTTTCTTCAAGTTTTGACATCTTAGGCTGTGAAAGGTTAGCCTTTAGCCAGAGGAAGAGTTACAGCTTATGTCAAAGGACATTCGGCCCCCTCTGGATCCCTGTGGCTCACATGCACATTCCAGACAATTTGAGAAAGATGGTAGGAAAAGAGAGTTGAATCCTCCCTCTTGAGATCCCTATTCCCAACTCCTTTCTTCTTCCCATTGCCTCAGAACCACTTGAAATTTGCTTTGAAGACTGGAAGAAACAAATTTCTTTCCCTTCCCACCACACTGGTGTCATCAAAGCCAAGACTAGGGAAGTGGCAAGAACCAGAAGTGAGCTGTCTCTGCAAAGCACTAACTGGTCAGCAAAACTTGGGAAACTTCCTACTAAACTCATTTTAAGGATATTTTCTGGAACTTCAGCCCAATTGGACCTAAGTTGGAGCTTGACATTGACCTCTCTGCCCTGACACCCAGCAGACTTCTGGATAGTTTTTGAGTTATACTCATGGGCCAGCTAGCCAGGACCTCTTACTGTTCATGGTTCCTCCCATAGAAACATCTCATTTTTCCCCACATTGCCCCCTCCCAACCCCAACTCCTAAAGCAAAATTTTTCAAAGTGTACTTCCAAAGAACTTTGCTTTAGGATTGCCCAAGTGGCTTGTTAAAAATAAAGAGTCTTGGCCAGGCGCACTGGCTCACGCCTGTAATCCTAACACTCTGGGAGGCCAAGGCAGGCAGATTGCTCAAGGTCAGGAGATGGAGACCAGCCTGAGCAAGAGTGAGACCCTGTCTTTACTAAAAATAGAAAGAAATTAATTGGCCAACTAAAAATATATAGAAAAAATTAGCCAGGCATGGTAGCACATGCCTGTAGTCCCGGCTACTCGGGAGGCTGAGGCAGAAGGATCCCTTGAGCCCAGGAGTTTGAGGTTGCTGTGAGCTAGGCTGATGCCACAGCACTCTAGCCTGGGCAACAGAGTGAGACTCTGTCTCAAAAAAATAAAAAATAAAAAAATAAAAATTCTTGAGTCTGACCTATTGGATTAAAATTTCTGGGGATGGACCAAGGCACTTGAACTTTTTTCTTTTTCTTTTTTTGAGACAGAGGTCTCACTCTGTCACCCAGGGTGGAGTGCAGTGGCACAATCATAGCTCACTGTAACCTCAACCTCCTGGGCTCCAGTAACATTCCCACCTCAGCCTCCTGAGTAGCTAGGAATATAGGCATGCACCACCACACCTAGTTAATTAAAAAAAATTTTTTTGTAGTGACAGGGTCTTGCTATGTTGCTCAGGCTGGTCTTGAACTCCTGGCCTCAAGCAATCCTCCCACCTTAGCCTCCTAAAGTGCTGGGATTACAGGTTTGAGCCAAAATGCCTGTCCAGAACCTGAACTTTTAAACAAGGTTCTGTGGTGATTCCCACCCACACAAAGTGGTTTTGGAACCGAAGATCTAAAGATATCCGTTAGCCAGTATGAGTCACGGTAAAGACACACCATTCTGTCCATTTTTTATTTCTATCCAACAAACATTTATTGAACGCCTACCATGTGCCAAGCAATAGCTTGACTTTTAACTGTTTTCCTCAGAGAGGGTCATGTTATCAGACTTCCAACAGATTCAAAATTCCTGTCTTTAGAACCCCTTTCATCTCCATCGCCATCCTAGGATGACCAAAGGATGCTATAGAGAACTGCATTTTCATCTAAATTTTCTCTTAATACAGATCAAGAGAAATGATACTCCCCTCTTTTTCACCCCCTAAAACAAGAGATTTCCTATGCTTTGGGGTTGTGGAGCCAAGAGTGCTCCAGTGTATCCAAGGGGTAACATAGTAGGGCTTGTGGAGGGGGTTGCCAGGGGCTTCTTGGGAACAACTTTCAACACACAGAAGACTTGACTGCCACCCTCCATCACTTCTGTTTGTAGAAAAGAAGTTTGCTATTAGAATGGGAGAGAAAGGTAGTAATGGAGGGGGTAGTGGGTAGGGAGTGGCTGCTGTGGTGAGCAGGATGGGAGAGATTTCAAAGCATTCCTACATCAAACACAACCTGGAAATCAGGCCCCTCTGCTGTCACCTCCCACAGAGAACTCAGCACCAGGACCCAGCAGGGCAAGTGACCCTTGGGAATTCCGGGCTTGACAAGTAATAAAATTAGTAAGACATTTCTCCCATACTCAGTGAACATCTAAGAGACAAACTTTAAAGTTACTAAAATTATCCTAATATATTCACATCTTCCTACATTTCCCCTAAATAATATCTTTCAATTTCTCCTTAGAGAATTATAGGCTAAGATTATTCTAGAGCAGATTTATTGTATAGCTAAGACCTGTGGCAGAAATGAGTATCTTGTTCTTTTGGTTTGAAAATGTCCTTTTCCCCAGCCTAACCTTCCCCCAAGAAAATGTCCTTATTTAATAAAATAAATCCTTGGCAAACATCTGTTCGATCTGAGTATGAGATGACAGAGAGTCTTGATTTCTAACCTTAGTAAATGAAGCAGCAGCCCAGGAGTGGAGATGCCAACTCTGAGCTCCAAGTGTGGGATATGCCAAGGATTTGGAGATTAAAGGGAGTAGAGAGAAGGATCAACAGAATGTAGCATTTTTGTGAGCAATTATCAGTGAACTGCTACTGGGTCTGAAAATTAAAAAAAACCAAAATCTCACTCTTTTAGGACACTTTCTTCCCTCAGCAAAGGCTAAATCTCCAAAATTTTTGCTTGAGGGAAATAGTGTAGCTAGCTCATGGGTCCATCAAAGTCAAGGCTTAATTGTCTCAGGAAGGACCCAACCTTTGCCCAAAACACTTAGCAGAAAAAACCTAATCTTTGTTGCATGAAGTTTGCCAAGGTGCCTAGGCAGCCTATTTTACCTGAAACCTTAGAGAAAAGGCTCTTAAATTTGATGGGTTTTGGTCAAACTTGCCAGACAATCAGGCTGGCTTTTCTGTCTTAACCCATGGGTTGAAGCTGCCAGGATGTCTTTCCCAAAAAGGTTTACAAAGCTAAACTTCTTGACCCATGGGGCCTTCTGGGCTTAGGAGTTGTGATAGGACAAGTACCATGTGAGAGAGCATTGTGAGAGCTGGGATATCTTGCAGCAAAAACTGCCTATTAAAATCTAGTCAAGGGGGGAGTAGGGTCATTGTGAACTCAGCACCATCTTATTTGCTGATGCTTCTCTATTTCTGCATTAATGGCATGGAAGGAGGGCAGTGAAGAAATACATCTACACTTGAAGGCTGAGCTAGCTCTAAAGAGCTCTATCATTTCCTGACCAGGGTGCTAGGGAAGAACCTTTATTTTTCTCTTCTTAAAAACTATTTAGGACCATTGTCATCTGATTGGGCACAGGACAAAAGTAGCAAAATCAAACTTGAAGGGCTATTTTCAGCACAGGATTCCATCTCCCAGTCAAACTCAGGGACTCCAGTAGTACAGGAACCATAGAGCCCTTTGGCTTTGAGCTCATTCCTACATGTCCACCCCACCCCCTTCCCTATCTTGGCTCAACTTCAGCCTCACCAACAGTTTACACTTTTGGCTCAGTTTGTTCACAAGTCCACATTCCTATAAAGAACTTGCTCCCTGGACTGTGATGGCTCTTATTCTGTAGATTTCCTCAGAGTGGGATTTTAGGCAAGGGTTCAAATAGCTCTTTCAGGACAAGTGGATCAGTGAAACAATAATAAAGCCTAGGTTACCATAACTCAGGCTGTAATAGATCAAGTTTTCAAGGGCACTTGAATAAGCTAAGAGTGGACTCTTTAGAGTGTCTTTCATTTTCTTTTAGGAACCCACTATCTTTCATTACTACTGTGTGTAAATAACTTCTATTTATTTAATTTATTTTCTTACAGCCCTAAAAAGGGAAGCATTACAAAAAATACCCAAGGAAGGTTGGAATGATTGTCAATGTACAGCTTCTCTTTGTAACCTTTCTACTCTTCATTTCCTGTGCCAATTGCACTTTTATTTCCCGTCTCTCTATACTCAGTAAACAAACCCTATTATCAAGGGAAAGACGTGAGCCCATTAACATTGTGAGCCCTCAGATTTCACTCGCAAGAGACGACACAGCACTTATCTGATGGAACAGAAGCTTTAATTGCTTCAAGGTACAAGGCCGTCCAAACCTCTGAGCTGGACTTAGCCCTGGGAAGGCTTTGCACTCTCCAGCGCAAGCACCCGTGCCTGTGCCAGCCTCCCAAATAGGAGCACAACGAATGTTCCACCACGACGGTGGATTCTTTATTCTGACAACCTGGTCAGAGGGGGAAGTCTGCTAAACGTCCCCACAAGGCAGAAACTTTATCTTCTGTCCAAATCAAAGCCTGGCACTACAACACTAGCCCTCATCATGCCGCCACAAATTGCAAGGGGTGGAAGAAGCTGAAGGGAATGCTGTGAAGTAACGTGAAAAGAAAACAGTAAAAAAGTGAAGATTTTTGTCCTGCCCTAGCCACACAGCACTTACGGCATAAAATGCAGTCCCGTGAGTCGTAGGGAAGAGGGGAACCAGGGAAAACCAAACATCTGCTCTGGGTTTAGGAGGGGGATGACATCAGTGCCAAGAAAACCGAAAGCTCAGAGGACTCGGAAAAGGGAAGAGGAATAACTTTGCTTTCTCCGGAGAAGGGCTAGGAGCAATCCCCACAGGCGGAGCGCCAGGCTCCCGATTAACCCCTTCCACACCGCGACGCCCACAATCACCCCGAGGGACTAGCCACCCATGGATCCAGAAGAACAGAAGCAGCCCTCCCCGCTCCATGCCCTGGCCATCACCCGAGCCGCCAGTCCTGCCTTTCTCCCCCAACCTCGCCCAGTACCTGTCCGAGGACCAGGCTTCCTGCGCTCCCGCCCCAACTTCCCCCGGGCAGCCGGGGCGGCGGCGGCTCTCCTCCGGGCTGGGGGCGCTGGGCGGCGGCCCTCGCCTGCTTTGGCTAAGTTGGCGGCGGGGCAGGCGCGAGGAGCCGCGCTCCAGTCGGAACCGGGCCGTGCGGGGAAGCCGCCCATTGGCTGGCCAGCGCCACGTGGCCGCCCCCGCCGGTATATTAGGCCACTATTTACCTCCGGCTGGCTCGCCATGGCTCGGCGAGGGCAGCTCGGGTAGAGCGGGCAGGCGGAGCGGCGCAGACGGCGGCGGTCCTGCCCAGCCCCGGCCAGGTTCTGCACCCCGGCCCTGGCCTGCGCGCTCCGTAGGGCGGGCTGGAAGCATGAGCTCCTACCTGGAGTACGTGTCGTGCGGCGGCAGCGGCGGTGGGGTCAGCAGCGAAGTGCTCAGCTTCGCACCCAAGTTCTGCCGCGCCGACGCCCGACCCGTGGCCCTGCAGCCCGCATTCCCCCTGGGCAGCGGCGACGGCGCCTTCGTCAGCTGTCTGCCCCTGGCCGCCGCCCGCCCCGCGCCTGCGCCCCCGGCCGCCCCCGCGCAGCCCCCCGCGCCGCCCGCGGCCGCGCCCAGGTACTCGCCCTGCACCCTGGAGGGTGCCTACGAGCCGGGCGCCGCACCTGCCGCGGCGGCGGCGGGGGGCGCTGACTTCGGCTTCCTGGGGTCCGGCCCCGCGTACGACTTCTCGGGCGCGCTCGGGCGGGCGGCCGACGACGGGCACGTCCACTACGCCACTTCGGCCGTCTTCTCCGGCGGCGGCTCCTTCCTCCTCAGCGGCCAGGTGGATTACGCGGCCTTCGGCGAGCCTGGCCCCTTCCCGGCGTGCCTCAAAGAGCCAGCCGACGGCCACCCCGGGGCCTTTCAGACCGCGTCCCCCGCCCCTGGCGCCTATCCCAAGTCCGTCTCTCCCGCCTCTGGCTTCCCCGCCGCCTTCAGCACGTTTGAGTGGATGAAAGTGAAGAGGAACGCCCCTAAGAAAAGTAAGTACGTGGGCCTCGGGCCTCGGCACCGGGGGTTGGGATGGAGTCTCCTCCGCGGAATTGCCCTGGGAGCGTGTTGCCACTGTCTTCCTAGACAGCAGTTTGGTTTTAAGGAGGAAATGCGTTCCTGGGCGTTATTAAAGCAGGAGAATTCCATAGAGCATCCCCTGAGTCCCGGCTCAGAAAGCGTGCTAGGCATTGAGAAAATGACAGAAAGGAGCTCTTCGTGGAGCGCTTCTCCTGGCGCAGCTGTGTTCGTAGAGACCAGGAGGGCTGCGCTGTGACTTTGGTTCTGACGCTAGCCCCACTGGTCGCTCATGTTCTGTCTCAGCGTCAACTTGCCCCGCTGACGCTGTGTCTTTCTGTTGCAGGCAAATTCGCCGACTATGGAGCCGCCAGCCCTTCCAGCGCGATCCGCACGAATTTCAGCACCAAGCAACTGACAGAACTGGAAAAAGAATTTCATTTCAATAAGTACTTAACTCGAGCCCGACGCATCGAGATCGCCAACTGCTTGCAGCTGAATGACACCCAAGTCAAAATCTGGTTTCAGAACCGCAGGATGAAACAGAAGAAAAGGGAACGAGAAGGGCTTCTGGCCACAGCCGCCTCTGTGGCCTCCCTCCAACTTCCCCTCTCTGGAACAAGCCCCACTAAGTCTGGCAAGAACCCGGGGAGCCCTTCTCAGGCCCAAGAGCCTTCCTGAGGTCCAGTACTGAGGCTGAGAAACCTTGGCCTGAAGAAGGCACAGGCCACCCCACCCCTGTCTAGACTTAGGAGCTCAGTTTAAAACCCAGGTGGGCGAGGGCAGAAATTAGTAGGGATTTCACTTGGGAAATGAAGTATCTTAGTTGGCTTCTGAGTTCTAGGCTGTATGTACAGATACTCATTTGCTGTCTTGCAAGCCACTTGTTTGGGTATATTTTGTGTCCTATCAGGGAAAAGGTGCCCAGCTGCCAGCCCAGCTCTGCTGCTATGTTGCCTAACTTAGTCATATGCAATTCTTGGGTACAGAGTGGCAGACCATTAGTTCCTGAGTTCTGCCAACCTCTGATGTGCTCAGAAGAGCACCTGCCCAGTTTTTCTGGTTTTAATTTAAAGGACAAGGCTACGTGTATTCAGCTTCTTGAGATGACCAAAGCTAGTTAGGGTCTCCTTGATGTGGCTAAGCTGCTTCAATGATGATCTTCACATTTGCACTGCAGTTTTGTTTTTGTTTGTTCTTTCAAAAGCAGTTTCTACCTCTCCATGTGCCTGAGTGAAGATACAATCGCTGTTTGTAGTTACTAGCTGAACAAATCCACAGGGTGGGTAAAGATTAGAACCTGAACTACACCTTGACATCAGTTATTCAAACTTGAATGTAAATATATACAGTATGTATATATTTTAAAAGGTTTGCTTGCAATCAGCTTATATACGACATTTAATGTCATAGCATGTAAAAGATTTTAACTTTTTTGTAATAAAAATCACAGAATATGCTACTCTCTTCCTTATACTCTTCATCTTCTTTCTTTAAAAATGATTGTTTCCTCTATTTGGAATTTCTTGATCATGCTACAAGAGTTCATTTACATTGATAACCTTTAAAAATAATACTTCTTACAGGTTGTGTATACACAGCAAGTTATGGACAATTATCTGAGCAGTTTAAGTGGAGAAAAGTACTCTTCCAAATATCCAAGTAACTAAAGAAATACTTTCCTTGCCTTAAGGGCCCTAGTTTTGCAGTGGTTGTGGAGACTGCATACTAACTCAAGGGTTGGTGCCCACTGTGGGAATGTTGTAAAGCTAAGACACTTCTGGGAGATCTCCGTGTTCTTTTGTCTCCTGTCCTCAAAAAAGGAAGAGGAAAAGTGACCTGAAGACTTTGTTAGTGTTAGTGTTCTCTGAGAAAGGAAGCTGCACATCAAGAAGTTCTCAGTGGCTGAATTCCCATTTCCAAAGTCAAGAGTTACAAAGGAGACTGGAGAGGCCAATAGTCAGAACTTTCTACTTCCTATAGCCCAGACTGAGCATCTGGCTGAGAGCACAGATGGTGCCTTTCTGGTTTTGAAATGTTTTTTCAAAATTATGAAATATTTTCAAATGAATTATTTGGAAGAGGTACAAAGACAAAATTTGAAAGTTGGCAAGAAGATATGTGGTTAAAGAAAGAAAAAACACCAACTCTCTTCTCTAATCTTATTTCTACCTAACCTCCCATTTCTCATCCTTGTAGGCACCCATAGTTGAGCAGCTTTTATACAACTTTATACAAATATGGAAAAAATACAATATTTTATGTTTATACACAAAATCAAGTGGATACTTGAGATAATTGTCAGGGTAGATCATTTTCCTCACTTTATAGCTATATTTTTAAATTATTTTCCAGTTCAACAGAAAGGCTTAAAGGCCCAAATAATCCACATAACAACCTCAGCTCTCCTTTGAGCTAGATTTCTAGATTCCAATACTCTCAATCCAATAATTCAGAAGTCTAAACAACTGTGAAGAATTACTTTTCCTATAAAACAGCAACGTGATTAGTTGTCTTAAAAGATATAAATTACATGTAAAGTCTTGTCCTTTGTACTCACAGTTTAATAGAGTTGAAGAAATAAAATTTTCAGCTCTAACAAACTCAGGTGATTAGAGGGGAAAATACCACTTAAAAAGCAGGTCTGTCAATATTATTCTTATGTTTCACAGTCTGCCCTTCAATAACTTGATATTAATCAGATTTTATTCAAAACAACAGCCTCCCACCAACTCCCCCAGCTCTGCAGCTATTTGAAAGAACTTGTTAAAGGACTTGTGATCTGGTCATTTCCATCTACCTCTGGGCTGCCCTTGCAGTGGTCTTTAACATGTCGATGTTTCCTTTTTGATAACCATTCAAATGGACACCTAAACAAAAAAATACCAACACTGGCTTGGTCATTTCCTTAATCTACCTCCCTTTTCTCTGAGAAAATAAAGCTTTTCCTTTTGAAGCTAATACTAGCACTTAACAGCCCTGATGGATGTCTTTCTTGATGAGGGTGGCTATTTTGACATACATATAGTGCTGTTCTATGAATCAGGCCAATATTAGCTATTTTTTGACCAACCCCAGGGATCCCTAAAAGCTTTCTTAATGCAGATCACTATACAGCCATATTCAGTATTAGGAAGAGTCCTGGCTGGAGATCGGGATGAACTAGGTGACCTCTGGAGGTCCCTTCCAGCAATGAAAATGCTACAGAAACAATTCAATGGCTTCTGCATATTTTGTTTTTGCCCTATCATTTGAAGTGAGTTTGGTTCTAAAAAAACAAAAGTGGTCTGTAGTATTATAGTGACACTGTGTTTATCCAAGGAAAGTGGATTTTAGACATTGTCAAATACATCTTGTCAGTAGAGTTACCTAGCTCCTGTGGATCGTTTACAGAGCATTCCCTTTCCCATTATTCGGAGCCTTGTATTATTTTGAGTCAGATCTCCATGAAGGATGAGGTTACTACGTCAACTCTGAGACTGCTCAAACAATCCCATTTCTATTTTACAAGATTGCAAACTAAATATGCTAATTCACCCTTCAGCGATCTGTTACAAGAATGAATACACAGTGGACAGTTCTGGCTATTGTATAATTAACTATTCAATGTTCCTTTGTCTTTTGTCTTCACATAATGACCATGTGTCTGTTTTTCTGGATTCAAGATAATTGGGAGTGAGGAAAAAGCATTAAATAATATACAAAATTTCCATAACTTGAGTACTAGCAAATGAAAGCCTTGTTGATATAAAAAGTTAAAGTAAGGTCACCTAGATTTTCTAAAGATTAATTGTGTGTGATTTATTCTGCCTCAATCCCAGATATGACCAGAACCAGAAGAGGTTATGTACGATTATCATGTCCTCAGAAAAAAGAAGCAGGCTCAGGAGAGTTGTATTAGCTCCGAAGTTCTTAATTATATCTATGGCCAAAGAAATGCTCTATCTTTGCAAAATATTGAATTTGAAAACCTCAGGATCTAATCAGGTTCAGAGAGATGGTTAGTCTGACCACAGACCTCTCAACAAGAAAAATGCCCATTGTTAAAACTTTATTTGTGGTTTTAAAGTGAAACCATAGTGGACATATCTTACAAATAATGATAAATCTCCATCTAAGTAGAAATCAAGATTTTCACAGTTTTTATCTCTCTATCATGTTTCCAAGAATAAACATGGAACAAATATGCAGACAGCTGTATGTCAGTATCTCCTTTGTAATTCCTTCTTGAGTTATACTTGATATTCAACAGTGTAATTTGGACAGAAATTGTTTAAGTTCTATAATGAATCAAGAGGAAAGAAATCGTAAACATTCATATGAAAGGAAGATCTGTTACTTAGCTTATAAAGATTTCAACATTACTCAATTTGTAATAAACGTATTGATGTAATTTGGAAAGGAGGGCCAAAGAGTGGTCATTTAGACTTGTAACAGCTAATAAAGCAGGTCACTGAGACTTTTGAGGCATTTTCAAAGGGTATTAGGCTATTTAGCACATCCCATTCTTAGGAATTATATAGAGCCTGAGCTTACACAATTCAGGGGGACCTCTTTAAGAAAAAAAATACAAAATCATGAATATAAACATTCATTCATATATATATATATATATATATATATACATATATATACACATTCATATGTACAAAATCATTGCTAACACATCTCCCAGGACCCGGAAGGGCTCAAGGTAGTGAAGCTTAAGTTTCGTGGGGTTCGTGGTAAATCCATCACTGTCTCTTCCTTGAAACCGTTGCTTTGTACTCACTGCCCAGTCATTGCAGATGATAGCAATGATTGCTTTTCTCCAACATCTTGGACCTAGAGTCACTGTTCGATTATCTTCAAATGCATCAAACAGCAGATCTTGGGGACAAGGGCAGGCTGACACTCTGTTCCACTCTCTAAGCATCTCAGTGCCATTCTGCTCTTCTGGGCTACTGGCTGTCTGACTTTGCCTGTGGGCTTACTTCATTGCCTTCAAACAGAGGCTCTTATCTCATCCTGGAGGCCCTCTTTTGTTGTGTCTTCTTCTCAAAGATACAAACAGAAAAGAAAGGTATAGCTGGAGACAACACAGCTACCCTGCTAGCTTCTAAACATTTCCCAGAAGGATGGAATCACTGAGGTTGACATAAAGGATCTTGAAGGAAAAAAAAAACACCAACTTTTTTCCAGAGATAGGATCTTGCTCTGTTGCCCAGGCTGGCCTTAAACTCCTGGGCTCAAGTGATCCTCTGCCTCAGGCTCCCAGGTAGCTGGGCTTACAGGTGCACATCACTGTACCTGGTAAGAAGATCATTGTTAAGGGAGGAGATCTGGATTTTAGCACCAGTTGTGTTTTCTGATTACAAGGAAAAATAACTTCCCTGGTCTCGGTTTCTCCTATAAAACAAAGGGGGTTGGTCTAGATTGGGGTAGGGAATTTGCAGAGAATCAAGGCCACATGAGGCCCTCCAGATCCCCAAGTGCAGTGCCTTGACTAAATCCAAACTTCAAAGAACAAATTCTTTTATTAAAAAGATTTGTTCTGTAAAATTTGGATTCAGTCAAAAGGCCGTACTCAAGGATCCAGAAGGCCACATGTGGCCCCAAGACTCTAGATGCTCATTATGTTCCCTTATCACCTTAGAATTCCTTCACAATCTTTTACTCTGCTGGTTGTTACTAAAAAGCTTATTTAACAATACTGTACCTCTGTAAGATTAATATCAACAAGAGGCTGTTATTGAAGTAATATCTGAGGCCTTTAAAAATTAATCTATCTGGCTTTAGAGTCTGTGTGTGTGTGCGTGTGTGTGTGTGTGTGTGTGTGTGTGTGTGAACTAGGTAATGTTTCCCATTTGTCTTGACTTGATTAACTAAAAGCTAACAGTGATAGCCCCCGAAAAGTTACCACTTTCCTTTGAACAGATAAATTAGGGTCTAACAGGAGAGTTTCAAAAGGGTATCAGCACTTCAGGTGCACTTACAGGTGCACATGTTTGGATTCTCAATCTCCTGTCCTTAATTCCATGCTTCAAAGTAGACAGCTTTCAGAACACAGAAATAATTTTGAATTTTTCTCTTCTTTTAAGGTATATGGGATAACGAAGTGAATGTTCCGTTCTGTTGAAAGAAAGAGAGGTGCACAATCAGATCTCTCCTCCTTTCCACTGGTCACCAAGTACTGTCTATTTTTCTTGAAAATGTCTCATGCCATTTTTCCTTTTCCATCAGCTCAGACTTTATCATCTCTCACTCAGCAATGCAACAGATTGCTGAGTGTGGTTTCCTGGCCTCCAGTCTTCTTCCCAGGCAACGCATTTGAAAGCTCTGCCTTCATTGGGTTGTTCCACTGTAAACCTCAGTGGCTCCTCGTTGCCAGTGGGAGAAATTCCAATGTCTTTGGCTTGGGAGTCAAGGTTCTCAACATCTGTATCCATCTTTTTTCTGTTAATCTTCCACCATTGCCTGA